CCGTCCCTGGGATTTGAACATGGGATCTTCCCATAACATTTGGTGAGGGTGACAACTAGACCACTTCACTAAGTCGCCACATCTCTATAAATGCATTAGATATAATCCTCTTAATAAATAAAGATATAAATTATATAAATAATTGTTGCAACTGATGCTAAAAACAGCTGATACTAAAATTTGGAGTCTTTATTTAAATCTATAATACCTACTAAAATCCATATATATTTTTTTATTAATAAACCTACTTTACTAACCCTAACCTAATTATAAAAAAAAAGTGTAAAAAAAGATCCAAAAATTTATAATAAAATATGAAAAAATTTCAGCATCAGCTATTTTTAGTATCAGCTGCAACAATAATCATATAATGCTAGTCATTACCAATTAGCCTGGACAACTTTTTATATGAAAAGTATTAACTTACTTATATTAGCAAAATTCAACAATACTAGTAGCTATTAATGCCTTTGTATAGTCAACTCTCTCTAAGTGCATGTTGCTAGGACTAGTACTTTAACCTGTATTTAGAGAGAACCTGCAATTAGAGAAAAATTAAAATTATTAAAAATTTTATTAATAAAAAATAATAAAATTTTTAAAAATTAATAACTTTAATCTATTGATTCAATTTGAATGATTTAACTACCAAAATAACTCTCCTATAGAGTTGTTTCTAATAAATCTAAAATCAGCTAAATCTAATTATATGATCTTCTCAAGATTATTAATAATTTGTAATATATTTACTATAGTAAATATCATATGATCAGTTTTAGTTGATTTAGATTTATTAGAATCGCCTCTATAAAAAGATTATTTTGGTAGTTAAATCATCCAAATTGAATCAATAGATCCAAACTTATTAATTTTTAAAGATTTATTATTTTTATAATAATAATTTTTATAAAATATTATATTATTATATGGGTTTGAAAAATCCACACATCCGCGTGGCTGTGTACCCCATTATCGACCAATCAAAACTGATTATATGAACACGTGATCAATTGCTTGTACCTGACCAATCAACATCAATTGCAAATTTTATAAGATTTTTTTATTAAAAAAAACAAACAAACAAATTTTATTAAAAAAAAAAAAACAAGAATATAACAAAAAAAACACACAAAGTAACAAACATCCAAACCCTAACCCAAACCCTAACTCTAACCCTAACCCGAACTCTAATAATAGCTCCAACGGCGAAATCGCAACTAAAAAACAAACTCTAACCCAAATCCAAACCCAAACAAGAACCCTAACAACGGCTCCAACGACGAAATCATATCTAAAAGAAGAAAAGCTCCAGTAATGACGGCTCTAATAGCAAAATCGCAACTAAAAGACAAACCCAAACAAGAACCCTAACGATGACTCCAATGGCAAATTCGTATCTAAAAGAAAAAAAGCATCCAATAACTCCAGTAATGACGGCTCTAATGGCGAAATTGCAACTAAAAGAAGAAAAGCATTAGTTATAAGCTATAAAAAAAAAAAAAAAAAAAAACAAATTAATAGTCCCAAAATGAAAACATACCCGAAAACAGCGATCTCTAACCCGAACCTGAACAAGAACCCTAATGATGGCTCCAATAACGAAATCATATCTAAAAGAAGAAAAGCTCCAGTAACAATGGCTCCAACGGCGAAATCACAACTAAAAGACAAACCCTAACCCGAACCTGAACCTGAACAAGAACCTTAACAACAGCTCCAATGACAAATTTATACCTAAAAGAAAAAAAACATCCAATAACTCTAGTAATGACGGCTCCAATAGTGAAATCGCAACTAAAAGAAGAAAGCATTAGTTATAAGTTATAAAAAAACAAAAAAAAAAAACAAATTAATGGTCCCAAAACAAAAACATATCCAAAAATAGTAACTCCAATGGCTTCAGTAATGCTGGTGAAATCATATCTGAAAAAAGAGAAAAGTTAGTATATAAATAAGGGGAAAAAAACAACAAAAAAAAACAAGCAACAGCCCAAAAATGAAAAACTTACCGAAAACAGTGATTCTAAAATGACGGTTCCAATGACTTTCTTACCTGAAAATGGCAGCTCCAATAACTCTAATAACGACAGCTCCAATGGCGAAATCATATCTGGAAGAGAGAGAGAAGCATCAGTAAATATATAAGAAAAAAAAAATTGACACAAGATGAAAAACTTATCTGAAAACAGTGGCTCCAGTAACAATAGCGGCTCTAACAGCAAAATTAGAAGAAAGAAAAGCATTAAAAAAAAGACAAATAAAAAACTTACTTGACCCAATAAACGAACCAGAAAACTTACCAAGATTACGCATACAATACAACTCCAGAAAAAGTGCAAGACCACTCACTGGAAAAACATAAATGTACAAAACCACCTACCAAGAATGTCCTATAGCACTATAGAAATATATAAGAAGAACGCCAGCACAAGATTACTTTCTGAAGAAACATAACTGAGAAGAAAATCTAATGCGACACCTATAACAGCATCTATGATAGTACCTACGACGACACCTATAACAACACTTGCAATGACACCAAGACGACACGACAAACGATTGCAGCTAAAAAAGAAAAAAAAATTAGTAACAAAATACATAAAATAAAAATAAACAAAAAAAAAATCAAAAAAAACTTATCTTGATGATCTTATTTATATGCATGCATATAGGGGTGCACAGCCATATAGGTGCGTGGAAAAAGTTTTCTGTTATTATATATTATTGGTTTATTTTTATTTTTATTTTTTTTAAGCAGTTTTGTCTTTATTTATTTGAACAAACTTTCTAGACTAGCAATGTATATATAATCTCTTTAAAATTTAATGTTCTAATCTAATAAAAACTCACCAAGCCGAAGCCCAATGCGACTCACTAAAACAACAATTAGTCTCTCTTAGAATCCAAAACTTGCTAAGGATTTCATACTGACTTGGGTACACCCCTTGATCACTAACGGGTTGTTGTTCACTATATCAAAACTGAATTTTTCCTTTCTAATTTTTCTCCCTTCTCAAAGGGCACGAGATAAAGAGGGTAAAAAACAAAAAAATTTTTCCAAAAAACCGACCAAAAAAAGAAAAAACAAAAGAAAATAAAAGGTACAGATTGTAAAAAAAGAAAAAAACAAACAGAAAAAAATAAGTCCTAACAGAAATGTCAGGTTGTTGTAAAAATTATAATACTCTTCTATTTAGCTCTACTCTAAATAAAGTCTACATTATATTTAAATCCACCTTCAGGATAGAGTTAGCTCTGCAAGAAATTCTTAGATAATCCTCTGCTTCGCATTATGTCAGTCATCATCCTACACATAGACTTGTAACTCTTGTTTACCTCCTAATTTGTACCCTGCCGATCTGGTACTAAAATAGCACAACACGTACTACTGGTTACCGTAATTGGGAGTGTCCTATTCCACATTGGGATCTGTAAACAATGCAGATCTTAGCAAAAAATTTTCTTAAAACTTAGCGGGAATATGGTTAAGAGTATATAGCTACAAAGACTTTAAAATTTTCTAAAGAGTGTGTTGAAATCTCAAGTTATTTCCCTATATTCTTCCAAGAAGTAACGGCCTAAAAGCTTTGTTAACGAAGAAGAGCTCTTTGTTCCTCTACCAAGATTTTTTTATTCAAGGGCGCCACCTGCTAGTTATCTTGAATACCAACACTCTTGGCTTGCATACTGAACGGCCTAAAGAGGAGTCCTGGGCAGAAAACACTATTAACCTCTCGCCAAACTGCAAGTTAGGCCATGACTCTCCAACAAAAACTTGTTTTCTGTTAGCAGAAAATTTGGTCCAGGTAATCAACAGGAAGAGTTGATGATTATATGATATTATTGGTTTATATTATAATTAAAAGTATAAATTTTAATTATTTTATTATCTAAATAAATATTCTCAATAACTACTCTAGTAGGTTTAGATCATAGATAAATAATTAGTCTGAGCTTTTATTCTTAAAAAAATTTAGATCTACATGTAAAGATATAGAGTATAGAATGTTGGTTGATCTGCTTGATAACATAATTCTAGCAATATTAGACATATATACAATTTTTTTTTACTCAGACTCTTTTAATGAATATATTGAAACTATCTTTTAAATTTGAACTTTTGCATTATACTAGAAGTGTAAAAATTATAACAAGGCCTTTTTAGCATTCTTGTTAGATATTTTCTACTAGCAAGACAAAAACTATCCAATACTAAATATAATAAAAATATTTCTTGTAAACTTTAATGATTATTTTGTTAAAAATATACATAGCCAAATACAATCAAATACCTCATTTCATAATAGTGTCGAAACTGTTATTCAACAGGCATGTATTCTAGATAAGTTAAAAAAAAAAATTGTTAGTTTAAATAATATAAAAATATTATTAATTGTATAATAAACAATAAATAAAAAATAGATACAAATAAGCAATTATTATTTAAAGAAGTATTTAATGCAAAAAAAAGATACTTGTATACTCTTTTTACTCTGGACTATCTAATAAGCAAAATGTCTTTGTTTCTACTAGATTATTTTTACAAGACCTTTTAACACATTAGTACAGTTACTATTATAATAGATAAAAATAAAAGCTAAAAAAAGAAAAAAAAAGCTTTTAAAATATAAATCCAATTTTAAATAAAGGTATTGATGACATGTGCTTGCCAACGAGCTACAGTACTGGTATACCTTCTTTACCAGAACTTTGTAATGATTGTTACAAACTATTAAATAAAAATAGAAATAGCACTGTGTTAATATGTGGTTATAGCTTTTATTAGGACTGCTATAACAAAATTGAATATAGCTGTCAATACTATAATGAGTACTATAAAACTGGAATATATAAGAATGTCAAATCTTTTATAGAGAAGTTTAAAAAAGGTGTTGATACACTTACTGAAGATAATAGAATTGATAAAGAAGAATTTGAAGACTTAGAAGACTCAGAGAAGCACAAAGATATGCAAGAAGAAGAAATAGTAATAAATTTACAAAATGTATTAGACAATATAAATAAATAGTAAAAAAATAATAATAATAAGTTATAATAAATATAATAAAATTCTTACTTGTTAAATTGTTAAATAGAATTAATAAAATTAATACTTGTAAATAAAATTAATACTAGTATTTAAAATTATTGTAAAATTCATATATTCTTTACTTTTTATATATAAGAAAAGTAGCTTAATCTATTTGATCTATACAGATTTAAAAGTTTTAAAAAGTACTTTAGAACTTGAAGGTTATGCTAATAAAAAAAGTTTATTTAATTTTATAGATAACTGAAAAAGTTATCAAATTGTAAAGTCTAAAACAGCTTGAAGTAATATTCAAGTATTCTTTACCTTTTACATATAAGTGAAGTATCTCAACCTATTTGATTATACAGATTTAAAAGTTTTAAAAGATACTTTAGAACTTGAAGAACATGCTAATAAAAAGAGTTTACTAAGTTATATACACAACTAAGAAAGTTGTCAAATTATAAAGTCAAAGACAGTCCAAGATAAAGTTTAAGCATTCTTTATAGGTAAGATACTCTAATCTATTTAATCTATGCAGATCTGAAAGTTCTAAAAAGTACTTTGGGGCTTGAAAAATGTCTTGTAAGAAAAAATTCTTTGTCACACAAGCAATTTGGGAGTTGTTATATTACTGTTATTAAAGAGTTTTATATAATAATTATTGTAATACAAAATATATCAACTAATTATATTTAGTCTGATAATCAAGATTAACAACCAATTAAAACAAACTTTCATCATACTATAAAAATAGAAGTTTAGAATTAGAATATTATAGTTGTGAACTTTAGCAATAAATTGAAGTTTCTTATATATAAAATTTAGAATATTTGCTATGAAAATATCTCCCCAAGGCTATGTTGATTTTGTAAATAAAAATTATATTTGCTAGCTATCTAGTTATCCAATTTGAATGAAATTTTTTTAATTTATAGATTATATTGAGATTTTAAAAGTTTATTCAAATTGGATTACTAGATGGCTAGTAAATTTAATTTTTATTCACAAAATCAATATAGCCTTGGAGGGTTATTTTCATAACAAAAATTTCTTTATTTTTTATTAGTTGATTTAAACACTATATGTAGTTTTTTTGATTCTATGTCAGGCTGATTTGGAATACCAAAAATTGTATTCTCTAATTGATACAGAAAAGGCCGAATTATCTGTTATTACTAGGTAAATGCACAGCATTGTTCGTCTGGAGCTAAGTATATAAATAAATATACTGTATATATGATAATAATTAAAATTTTTAATAAAAAATATAGAATAATGGTTATACTATAGTATATATATTTGTATATATAATAATAATTAAAATTTTTAATAAAGAATATAAAATAATGGTTATACTATAGTGTATATATTTGTATATATGATGATAATTAAAATTTTTAATAAAGAATATAGAATAATGGTTATACTATAGTGTATATATTTGTATATACAATATAATAACATATATAGTAAATTAATTAAAACTGTAATATATAATATATACAAAGTATATATCCTAAGTGCATAAGCATAAGTGCCAAAATAGATTGTATTTAGAAATATATTGAATTTAGAGAGTTATAAATCTATAAGTGTTATATAAGTTGAGAGGTAAACAAGATTATATATTTAGAGAATACTGTAGTATTAAGACATTTTATTAAAATAACTATTAAATTTCTAATTAAAATTAATTGTGCAAAGACTAAAAAGGTCATAACTTTATTTTTGTTCAAGAAATAAATATCTGATTAATTGGTTAATTCAAAATTAATTGAATATCTAGATATTTCAAAGTAATAGATGTAAAATAGATATTTAAAGAAAGTAAAATCTGGATATACAATGATAAATGTATAAACAGAATGGATAGAAATACTATTTTTCTATCCAAATTTTAACAATGCGCAATACTTATATATAGAGATCTTCTTTTGTATAGCATTCCACATATAAATCAAAGCACACAACCCAAAAGCCTACAAGAAAAATAATTAATGCCTGGTAATTTATATAGAACTGGGTGCTATAATTAAGAATATTTAGAAAAGTAATAATTAATATAGTTATAAATAGCAGATTTATTAAAAAGCAAGCAAGAAAAATGGTAAGTAATATTTGGAGTTACGAATTAAATGGTAATGATATGAGTTAAGAGTATAATAGTTCAAGTTTGATCGGTATCTAAATAAAAATATAGGTTAAAAAAGCTAAAATTAAAGTAGAATTGATTTGAGAACTGGGGTTAAATCATTACGCAAAAAATTTCAGTTGTAATTTTTAAAATTTTCATAAAATTTGAGATTGAATACAGATAAATCCGTAATTCATTTACCCATTACTGAATTTATTCAGATAATTATCAGGATATCGATAGTAAAACTGATATCCGAATATATTCAGATCTGTATATCTGATATACAAATGAATAAAAGGATAATGAAATAGGAATCTACATAAAATTGTAAAAGCGAAAGTATTTAAATATATGAATCAAGAAATCTAATAATAGAGTTTAGGGGCAGTGTTAATTTATATGATTGAGTGCAGAGTAGGTGAATAGAACGCCTGTAGATTATACATGCCGATGAAATTATTTCAGGTTCTAAAACCCGAAATTAAAATTTGAAGACGAAATTGTTTTTGACTTATTTTACTTAAAAGATGAAATTTTTTGACACTTTTTTTGAATAGACAAAATTATAAGGAGTATAAATATATAAATTTTATTTGCTCTTTCTTATAAAAAATTTTAATTTGCTTTAATAGAGACAAAATAGGCCTTTTTTGAAAATCAATTTTGGTGGCATCACTACTGTAGATCTCACACAAAAGCATTAATTAATGAATCTACCTCGTAAACCTAATCTAAAATAACATTAACATTAATCCCTAACCTTAATAGCACAATTGGGTGAACTACGAGACTTGGTAAAGAGTATAATTGCATGTGATAGAACAGGTAAAGAACTAAATAATATAAGTCACATGATATGAAATTTCTTTAGATTTAAACCCAATTCAAATAAAGATACTTAGCTATTAAAGTTTAGCAGAAATTCGAATTAGATAAAAATGGATAGCGAAGGTAAAAATAGAGATAAATTTAGAAAGTGTAAAAGTAGAGAGAATGAGATATTTGAATAGAGAGAAGCACAGCTTGCTAGGGAGCGTGATCAAAAATGCCAAAGAGAGGGTACAGAATCAGCTGAACAATGCGAAGCACGTCTCGCACGTGATCGCGAGCAAAAGCAACGAAAAGTAGGGACGCAAAAAAGTTGTGACTAGGATGAAGTAGAAACCAATAATAGTGTTAATAATCAGCAAAGATCAGAACAAATACCAAATGAAGCTATAATATACATTAATCCTTCACTGGCGGCTAATATCAACGATTTTGAACAAGATCTTCTGATGAAATTTCAGAAAAAAATAGATAAACTTAGGTTTACACTTTGTCCCGTGTGTAATGAAAGTTTTCCAGGCATTGAGCTTGTCAAGAGAAGTTGTTGCCAATGCAATAATGAAAAGACAACTCCAAAAAAATTTTCTGCAGAAAACAATATGGATCCAGGAGAAGTTCCTGAAGAACTTCAAGGACTTACAGAGGTTGAAGAAATGTTAATCTCTCAAGTTTTTACTATAATGTCAGTATACTGACTTCATGGTGGACAATATGGATACCGCAGAAACATAATCAACTTCCCCCAAGACATACAAGAGTTCATTACGCACCTTCCTCGGCATCCATTGTCACTAAATGTGCTTGTTGTGCGTCAGCAGTCTACAAATCAAACATTTAAAGATTTTTAAGTCTGACGTTCTAAGGTTACTCGTGCATTATACTGGTTAAAAGAAAATAATCAGTACTATTTGAATATTGTTATTGATGAAAATATTCTTCAATTATTACCAGAGATGGTTATATAGATAGTCAACTTCCTCATATTCAGAGTGACCAGAATTCAGATAGAATAGAAGAAGATGACACTATAATATATAGCTTTGTTTCTTCTCTCTCTTCAACTTACTATGAGGATGTTGCAATTAATAATGTACTCAATTGCTTAAAGAATGAAAATTATTCAATAGCATGCCAACAATTGATAGTAGCCTGATTAATGAATTCCAAACTCCAGAATATATCATGTGCATATTTCCAACGTTGTATCCAACTAGCAGTGCTGATCTTCATGCTGAACGAATTAAAAATATTAAGCCAGCAAAATATTTTAAACACTTGCTTTGATACAAAGATGGAAGATTTGCGAGTCACAATCAATGGAGATATTTTGCTCTTAATAGTCAAATGAGATGGTAAGCACTACAAGAAGGAAGCATATACGTTAGACAAAATCTTTCTGATGAGCAGCTCACCGTTGCTAATATTTAAGATATGATTTCAAAAGGGGATATAAATATATCTAAACGAATTATACGATTCAGAGAAAGTTTATATGGATCGCAACAGTTCTGGATGGCATAGAGTTGTGAGTTAGCAGACATGATTAAGCAGATAGACTTGCAAGGGCTAGTGTTTTTCATATTTAGTGCCGCGGATCTACACTGGCCTGAGCTTTATAAGCTTATACTATCAAGTGGAAACTACAATGGAGAAACTGAAAGTTCTGAATATTGTTGTCAAAACATAATCAATAATCATCATACTGTTGTATGGTTTTTCAATAAGCGATTCGAGGTCTTTTTTGAGAATGTGCTTAAAAAAAAATGGAATCTAGTAGATTGGTAGTTCAGATTCAAGTGGCAGCATAGAGGAAGCGTTTATTTGCATGGAATCGGAAAAAGAGGAAATGCACCTGTGATTGACTGGAAGCAAATAAAAAAAAATGAGAATTTGATAAGTAATGTAGTAGAATATTTCAATAATATAGTCAGTATGATAAATCCAGGTCTTAACTCACCAATACCCAAGCAGCATCCATGTCAAAAAAGTAATAATGAGATTCGTAATGATCTACAAGACTATATTGATTTGATAAATAACGTGCAAAGGCATACTCAATGTAGTGCTTCATATTGTCTTCGTAAAAATAGAGCTGGTCAACAATCTTGTAGATATGGGTATCCTAAAGAAAATAGTGAAATTACGTATTTGCGTGATAATAGTTGTAGTCAACCTGAGCTAGTTACTGCAAGAAACGACTCATATATAAATTCGCATAGTCAGATTCAATTACAAGGGCGGTGAGCAAACGTAGATTTGAAGCCAGTTCTTAGCATTCATGTGGCATTACAATATATTGCTAAGTATGCAAGTAAGGCAGAGCTACGTTCAACTGCCTTTTCAGAAATATTGAATCAGATACTTAGTAATAGCAGACCTGATGAAGCAGTACTTTCTCCAATTCAAAAATTGTTGCTACATAGTGTGGCGGAATGTAACATTTCTGCACAAGAGACTTGTCATCTCCTGCTTGGTATACTACTCTACTATTCAAGTAGGTCATTTGTCACATTGAACTTTAACAATGAAGCACCGCGATAGCTTTGTGGAACAGGTGGTGAAGAAGATGAATTTACTGCAGTTAAGAATTCAGAGTAGACAAATAAGTCACCTCTAAAGCTCTATCAAGATCGACCTAGTGAATTAGAAAAATTTTTCAATATTCAATCTTTTTCTAATATACAAATTTATAAAAAATCATTGAAAAAGATGCAAACATGAAAATATAGTACGTATCTGGCCACGCCCATCGAACCTGTGTAATGGCCCTCAATAAGAAGAATTTTGCCATATAAAAGTTCCCTTTCACGTTTGTTATCATGACCTCCAACAATTAACAGAAAATGAAACAGTATCATGGACTGCTTTATATAAGCATCATCTTGAGGAAATTAATTCTAATCCACCCAATCTTATTGGTCAAGCTATTGATGATGAGGAAAGTGTTATAGATGATGATGATGATAAAATAACAGAAATTGATGAAGATGAACAAGAAGAATACTGTGCTAAATGGATGCTGCTAGCAGAAATAGGACTGAATGCAAGTATTAATAATTCTTCTGGTATTGGATCATATAACATGGATAGAGATTATGATTAGGTTAGTAATAGTAGACATCAATTTTCGAATATCGATATTATAGAGGCAAGCAGTTTTGTCCATTAAGCTTCAGGAAACACTAGAATAGAAGATAATGATAATTTAGTTAAAACTATAGATTTTGAAAGTTTAAATGAAAAGCAAAAAATAGTCTGCAAACGAGTAGAATCACATTACCGTAACATTCTTACAAAGTATCAAGTAGAACCATTAAGAATAATCATAATGGAAACTGCAGGTACAGAAAAATCACATCTTATAAAAGCAATTCGAAGCCTACTTAATACAATTGCAAGTGCAGAAGATAATTCAGCATTAATTGTGCTCGCTCCAACGGGAGTTGCAGCATTCAATATTAATAGATTAACAATCAATTCGGCACTTTCGATTCCTATACGTACCAAAAATTTTGAGATAAAAGGTGAAAAGTTGAAGCAGTTACAAGAAAGGTTTCGAAATGTGAAGTATATAATTTTAGATAAGAAGAGTATGGTTGGGTACAGAATGATGGCTTTAATCGATATACGATTACGTCAAGCGTTTCCTAAATGCAAAAATGAACCATTTGGTGGGAGGTCCATTATCATGTTTGGAGATTTTGACCAACTCCCCCCGTCTTAGATTTTCCAATATATGCAACTAACATATCAAGAGAGCCAATATCTAATAATAGTGTCTTAGCGTACAAACAATTCAAAGAAGTTTATAAACTTGATGTAATTGAGCATCAAGCAAGGGAAAGCGAAAGACAACAAGAGTTTAGAGAAATTCTTTTACGTTTGCGGGATGGAGAATCAACTATAGCAAATTGGAAAACATTGATATTAAGATTTGAAGATAAAATAACAGGAGCGGAGAGAAATCAATTTTCAGAGGCTATTTTTATATCACCAAAGTGGTCTGATGTTGAGAAGATAAATTTAAATAAACTTACATCTCTAAACCATCCTGTTGCTAAAATACTTGTAGTACATATAGGTGGTTCCAAAGCAAAGCGAGCAGACTTTGATGTGGCAATGGGTATAGAAGCACAGTTATTAATAGCAAAAGGTGCACGTATAATGCTAATAGCAAGCTTATGGACAAGTGCAGGTTTAGTAAATAGAGCAATCGGAACAGTTCAAAATATCTTGTACAATGAATAAGGACCTCATTTTCTTCCTGTAGCCATTATGATTTCTTTTGAAAGGTATAACGGGCCTATACTTACTACAGTAGAAGGTACAACAGTAGTTCCAATTGCACCAATTCGATGTACGTGGGAAGGTAAAACTGGAACAATGTGTACAAGGTTGCAGATCCCTATTTGTTTAGTGTGGGCAATTACGGTGCATAAAAGTCAAGGGCTCACACTTCCAAAAGCCGTAATAGAGATCAGGAATAAAGAATTCGCTACTGGACTTTTATTTGTAGCAGTCTCTAGGGCTCGTACACTAAACGATCTCATATTCAAGCCGTTCAATTTTGAAAGATTACAACGTATTAAAAAATGCAAAAGGATACAGAAAAGAAAAGACGAAGAGAAGCAGCTAATCTCTATGATTTCGTAAAAGCAATAAAGTTTAGATTAGCTTAACATTAATTATTAAAGTGGAGGTTTTTTTTTGTAAAAAAAGTATAATAGTTTTTTTGGTAAGTAGCAAAGAGAGGTATATTTAAAAAGTATGAAAGTAAGAGATTCAAAAGGTGGTAAAGTATAGCTATAATAAATGTAAGGGTTAGGTTAACATAAAAAAATAAAAAGTAAGAGTTTTTTTTTTTCTTATTCTATTTGTAAAGCGTTAGTGAATGGATAATTAGAAAGTGAGAAAGTAATTTTTTAGTAATGAGTGAAGCAAAAAGTAGGAAATAAGAGATTCAAATGGTGGTAAAGTATAGTTGTAATAATTGTGAGAAGGTTAGGTCAACATAAATTAAAAGTTTTATTTTTTTCTTATTCTATTGTAAAATTGATAAATAGAAAGTAAGAAATTACTTTTTTGATAATTATATAGTAGTTATATAGTAGATGAATCTAAAATGGAAATTAAGCAAGTTAGTAGACAAACGGAAAATACAAAAATATGGTTTTGATATTTATATAACAGATACATCAAAAACATAAATTAAGCATTGATGATTGTAGAAATTAAAGATCCCTTACTTCGCTCCGGACAATAATATGTACAAGAATTTATATATACTTAAATAAAGTTATGAGGCATAACCTCACTTTAACAA